GATTCTGATGATGTTGCTGCTGCTGCTGCTTATGCTAATGATGATGATGAGGATTCTGATGATGCTCATTATGATGACGGCGATGCTAATGCTGATTATGCTGATGATGCTGCTGATGATGATGATGGTGCTGATGCTGATGCTGATGCTGATGGTGATGCGGTGATGATGATGACGCTGACGATGACGATGACGATGACGATGACGATGATGACGATGATAGTTACGATGATGATGATGATGATGATGATGATGATGATGATGATGATGATGGTGATGATGATACTGATGACGATGATGATGATTATGATGATGATGATGATGATGATGATGATGATGATGATGGTGGTGGTGATGATGATGATGATGATGATGATGATGATGGTGGTGGTGGTGGTGGTGGTGGTGTGTGATGATGATGATGTGAATGATGATGTGATGATGTGATGATGATGATGATGATGATGATGATGATGATGATGATGATGATGATGATGATGATGATGATGATGATGATGATGATGATGATGATGAGGATGATGATGATGATGATGCTGAGGAGCAGGAGGAGGACGAGGAGGACGATGTGGAGGAGGACGAGGAGGAGGAGGAGGAGGAGGTAGCAGGCAGGTCTGGCCGAGCGGTGCTCGGCGCGCGGCGACGAGCTGCGCCGTGCGCTGCTCCTCTTCTGCCGTACCTATCATTAGTTGACACTGGGTATCTGTGAACTCCCAGATTCCAATCAACTTTAAGCGCCTTCCTGCTTCAAGGATCGAGTTTTGCTTCCTCTTCTTCCTTCGTCTCCATGGGGCGGCGGAGATCCACTCTGCTTCCAGCGCATTCCTGCTTCATGCTTCTGCCCACTTCTTCCGACCGAGGGGTACCCGCGGCCCGTGACCTTCGAAGGTTCGAGGCCAGCAGTCTCGTTGGAGAAGGATACCCGGGCCTCGTGGGCACCGCGGGCCTGGCGCAGCGGCTGCGACCACACGGGCCGCGGCCCGCTTTCGCGAATGTCCCGCGTGGGACGTATCTAGGCCATCGCATATCCACGGGATCGCGCCCCAGCATGGAGCCCGCGAGGGATTGGGCATGGCTACGCTCGCCGCTCGTGAAAATCTAGAAGGCCGTCTTTGACTGCGGTTGAGCCCTGATATGCCCGCGTCGTGAAAAGATCGCAACGGGAGGTGTTTGAGAGTTTTCAGCTCCCGGGGTCTCGGACTTTCAAAAGCGACTCGGGATGAAACAAAGCGGTTCCCATGAAGGGGTCCAGAAGTCTGGGGATCCGGGTTGTGAGCAAAATCATCACGTCGGACGTCTGGGAAACACCACGATCTGCGCTGATGCGGCATGCCCGCGCCAGACACGACCGACACCATGGGTCGCATGTGACCTCCCACGCGCTCACCTCTGAGATGGATGCTTTCTCAAACGCTATGCCTGCAAAATCAGTTGGCACCGTCGCCCTTGTCGGGCTCTGGCCTGATCAAATCAAAGCTGCGGAGAGGAGAGGGTGCGAGCACTTGCAAAAAGCAGGGGCAAACATTGAGTGAACGCATCCCTTGGCTGACTGCGTCTGCTGCTACCCTCCCTCGGCGCTATACTCGAGTTGGCCTGAGATGAACTGCGCGTATTGGGAAGTCGAACCTGCTCCCATTCCCGCTTCCTCTCCCACCATGGTGCGACTCTCGCTCACCCGCACAGGCACTGGCACCAGCACCTGCACACGCGCCGGCGCCGGCAACGGCACAGGGCCCTTCTTCTTCGTCTCCCTCGACGGAGGAAAAAACGGCACGGCCATGGGTCTCGGATGTCCGCGCGGGTTTCTTGGATTTGCGCTGGACCTAAGCGCGCCAGGGGCGGTGCCGCCAGTGGGGTCCAGCGCACGATCGAAGGATCCGCGCGGCCCTTCGAGATTTTATGCTTGTGCCCTTTTTTTTCCGCTCCGCCTCCCGCTCCCTCTTTCCCGTTTTCCCTCTCTGTCTCACCGAGCGCCTTCCGTTACTCGCAAAGTGCCTACCCGCAAACCTCCTCGCCTCGATGAGCTGGATCGTAAATCCCCCGCGACGGATCCAGGCTATCTGCGAGTAGTTACTTTGCGAGTAGTGGAACGTGCTTGTCTATTCCCTCGTTCCCGTCCCTGTCCATCTCTCAGCAGTGGGCGCAGCCTTGGTTCTCCGGAAGTGCGCCAAGAGGGCAGAGCCAGGGGGCGGTCGAGTTGACCGGGGGGATTGGGAGCTGAGGTGCCCTTCCACGCCGGCAACCTCCCTGCGATGGCCCTCATGATCTGCACGTCGGAGCCGCTGGCCTATCTGCCTCCTGTGTCGCGAGCCTGGGCAAGCGGGATTGTGACGTATCGAAGCTCGGTCGACAAGAGAGAGGGGGGAGAATGGAGCAGAGGGGCGTGGAGGGAGGGGGAAACGGGAATGGATACTACGACGAGGTATTTGGACAAGGAGGCGTAGGACGATGGCAAGCTAGGAGGAGGAGGAGGAGGAGGAGGAGGAGGAGGAGGAGGAGGAGGAGGAGGAGGAGGAGGAGGAGGAGGAGGAGGAGGAGGAGGAGGAGGAGGAGGAGGAGGAGGAGGGAGGAGGAGGGCGGAAGGAAGACGAGGGATGAGGGAGGAATGATGAGAAGAGAAAGGGGGAGAAGGAGGAGAGACGGGGGAGGGCGAATGCGGAAGGTAAGGAGGGAGTAAGGAGGTAGGAGGGGGGAAGGGGGATTGGGAGGCAGGAGGGAAGAGGGAGTTTGTAGAGCTGCGTGCCCGAGGGGCACTTGATCTGCCCCTGCGAGTCACTGGAGCTGATCGACTGCTCTCGGTCTTTCCAGACTGAGGCCGCGGGAGCCCGTGCCGGAAGAATTTGGTCAGCCGCTTTCATTCTGATTGTGATTTTTGCTGTTCTCGCCACTCGTCTCGCCATCATCTGGTCTTCTTTACCCTCCTGACTTCATCCCTCGCGTGCTCTTCCATCCTCTGCGGCCTCCTCGGGATTGCCCTTCGCGCAGCTGGTGGTCAATCTGGCATGAGCACGCGCTCTGCCGTTGCAGCGGTTTGTTTCATTAATCTTCGTTCTGGCCATGGTCTGAACGAGTGCCCGTCCTGCGTTGTCGCGTTAACGCATGACGATTATGGTCATGATGATGAGGATCGTGCTGGTGATGACGATGACGATGACGGCGACGATAATCTGATGACGATGGTATGAGGGCGGTGATGATGAGGGTGATGATGCTGAAGATGATGATGATGCGGATGATGATGCTGATGATGATGCTGATGATGATGATGGTGGTTGTGGTGATGGTGGCGATTCTGATGATGCTGATACTGATACTGATGATGATGATGATGATGATGATGATGATGATGATGATGATGATGATGATGATGATGATGATGATGATGATGATGATTATCATGCTGGCCCTTTGTTTCTTCATGATTCTCCAAACAGCTGAACAGCTTCGGGTGCCCTTGTGGTAGAGGCTAGTTCCGTCCGATGGAGCCTCGCGACGAGACATCCTCAGAACATGTCCGTCGGCGTGCCCCCGAAGCAGTAAGTTTTTGGCGCCGTGGATGTGGAAGCTATGTGATACACAAGCTCCAGCTCAAGCTGCGGCGAGGAGCAAGTGCACATCCTCGGAACACCCACACGGGCGGCAACTGCCAGAGAGTGGCGGCACCGGGCGGGGACGCGGAGCATCCTCGGGACGCAGCGGGCTGGAGCGTGGCGAGTCCTCTGGACACCCCACGGGCGGCCACGGGCGGCAACGGGCCCGAGCGTGGCGAATCCTCGGGGCACCCGTGCAGGCTGCACCCGTTCGGCAACGCGCCGGCAGCAAGCCAGCACGTGGCGAGCCCTCGGGGCACCCAGCCTACGGTAGGTTCGCGTCGTGTCGACCGGCGGCGACCCCGCCGCGGGCGTTCAAGGTTGAACGCCGCCAGTGGCCCAGAATCAACCTATATGGAACGACCGCGCGATCGACCAGCCGCCGATCGTTCAAGGTTGAACGATCCACGCGGCGTCAGAAACCAACGCTGGGGTCGTCACGACACGAACCTGCCGTATTCCGCAGAAGCGCAAGTGGGAGCCCCGGAGTGCAGGCGCTGTCTCGGGAGTGAGGTGGTCCGGGCCGTTTCGCCGGAGAGGTCCCTGCAGCTCTCGTTTCCGAGCTGGCCACGATGGGGCGTTTCGCCCGAGACATCCTCGCGAGACATCGTGCGAGATTGGTCCAGCGCGTTTCGTCTGATACATCCTCGCAACTCTGAGCTCCGAGATGCCGCGCGCGAGGTGGTCCAGCCCGTTTCGCTTGATACATCTTCGCAACTGAAGGCACCGAGATGCCACGCGCGAGGTGGTGCAGCACGTTTGAGACACTCTGGTAACTGGGCTCCGAGGTGCCGCGCGCGAGGTGGTCCGGCGCGTTTCGCTTTAGATATCCTCGAACCTCTAACTTACGAGATGCTGCGCGCGAGGTGGTCTGGCGCGTTTCGCTTGAGACATTTTCGCCATTCGGGGCTCCGAGATGCCGAACACGAGGTGGTCAGGTTCGTTTCGCCTCAGACGCCGCGCGCGAGGTGGTCCGGCCCGTTTCGCCTGAGACATCCTCGCAATTCTGAGCTTGGAGATGCTGCGCGCGATGTGGGCTAGCCCATTTCTCCTGATAAATGCAGTAGAGAAACACTCCCCCCGAAAGGTTTCGGATATGCTGAGCACACGTTTGTAACGATAGTTGTTTCGGATCGGGTTTAAGGCTCGACTGATGTTTCAGCGTTTGACGTTACCGCAATTGTTTTGGCTCTAGCGCCCTGAGGTGGAAAAAGATCCTCTTGAGGCCTTGCGGGGCCCAGTATAGATCATGTGATACTGGCGCGATTCCGCGGATGGTAGCGGAGCGTGGCCGAGGCAGGATCACCCTCCGTGTCCTGGTGATCCTCGGTCACGCTGCCGTGGCGGGAGCCGCGGCGATGGAGGCCCTCGCGGACGGAGCGCGTGCGTCTGATGGAGGGCGAGGTGACACGGCGCCGCGAGGTGTTCGCGGAGAACGAAAATCTGCTGTGGAGACTGGACGCCGCGGAGCAGCGTCTGGCGATGGGCGATCAGCGCGCTGGAGAGCGCGACGGCGGCGCAGCCGCAGCAGCAACACCAGGTCCGAGCAGCGGACAAGTCGTGGATGCGAGACTGCTGAACAAACCGCGGACGTTCACAGGCTTGCACTCGGAGTGGAAGATATGGTCGTTCGACTTCGAGGCTTACATGTTCGCGGTTTACCCCCGACTGGGGGACTTGCTCAACCAGGCGTCGAGAACGGCGGATGTGCTGACGGCGCAGACCGAGCTGGACGCCACACCCAACACACAGTTGTACTACATCCTGGTCTCGGCGACGTCGGATGTGGCCAAGGTTGAAGTCAGGGAAGCCCCGCGAGGAGACGGGCTCGCTGCGTGGTGGCACCTGCTTCGAGAGTTCGCGCCGAAGGAGGCGAACAGGTTCGCGGTCATGCTAGGTCGGATCATCGGATACGAGTTTGTGGACCCCGTGATGACGAACTTGGCGGAGTTTGAGCAGCTCGTCCGGGAGTGCACGGACCAGAGCGGCGAAATAATTTCGGACAACATGAAGCGGGGCGTGATCATGTCGGGCATCAAGAACGAGAAGCTGGCGGACCACCTCAGCTAGAATGCTTCGCGCTTGGTCACGTACAACGACCTGAAGACGGAGTTGAAGACGATCTGCTCATCGCAGCGACGTTGGGTTGCAGCGGGCTCTGGAGGCGACGGCGTAGTCCGTCGATGCAGTCGGTAAAGGCAAGGGCAACGACAGCAAGGGCAAAGGCAAGGGCGGCAAAGGAAAGGCGACTCCAAGGGAAAGAAGGGCGACTCCGAGGGCAAGGGCCGAGAGACCCGCAGTTGCCACTACTGCGGCAAGGCTCGCCACCTCGCAGCCGACTGCCGCGAGAAGAAGGCGGGCAAGAGGAAGGGCCGGGAGGTCGCATCGCTGACGGACGCGACCCAGGTGCAGCCTTCGTCCTCGACGGCAGCGATGGCGCTGAAGGGGGGCGGCGCTGGCTCGCAGAGCAGCTTGCCCCCCGCGATCGACGTGTCTCACGTGGCAGCAGTCCTAGCCCAGATGCAGTTGCAACAGCAGCGGGGTTCACCTTCGACGAGCGCTACCGTTCACACTGCGAACATCTAGGTGGCAGGCGACGCTGACATCCCGACGCCCGAGGAGTACAACTGGCAGGTCGGCATGATGTACGCCGCGGCGCAGCGCGACGCGCCGCCAGTGGCGGTCGGCGACTCGGTGCAGTTCGACTGGGCGCTCTGTGATACAGGTTCAGGGCTCGCCACCTGCCCGCAGGGGTTCGCCAATCTAACCGAGATGCTTCGCCCGAGAAGCTGCCGCTTTGCGAGTCGGCGACTGGCGGCGAGGTCAAGTCCGTGGGCGCGAGGGTCGCGGCAGCCGAGGGCGACGGAGTACCTCTCCAGATCGAGTTCCAGGTCGCGAACGTGAAGCGCGCCATCGTGAGCGCCGACGCCCTCGCAAAGGGAGGTCATGCCCCGATCCCGATCCTCGGCAAGGGCCCCAACATCCTGCTCGCGGACGGCCGCAAGATCGAGCTGTACAGGAGCGGGAGGACGTTCTGGCTCAGGATCAGGAGGCCCGTCGAGAACGTCGCCGAGCCGATCCTCGCCAACCCCGTGCAGCCGAACACTGAGGCCCGAGCTGTTCCGCACGAAGCACCTGCTGACGAGGGAGATGCAGAGCCTGAGGCCGACGCCGATCCACCAGCGCCGCCGCATCCACCGGCGCCACCAGCTGCCAGCGATGGCCAGGACCAACCAGACCAGCAAGGAGATCAACGTGAGGGCGTTCGGAGACAGCGAGAAGACGGAGCGCTACTGCTGGTTTCTGGAGAAGCCGCGGCGGCGAAGGCGAGAGGAATCCCAGTGATGCCAGATCGAGCGGTTCTAGACCAGCATCGTCTCGCGCACTGGCCCTTCCGCACGTGGTGCTTGTTCTGCGTCATGGGCCGCGGTCAGGGGGGCCCTCGCGCGCGCTTAGCTGGCCCCAGCCGCCTGGTCCCGCTGGTCTGTATCGACTACTCATTCCTCGGAGACATCGAAGGCGACCCCCTCGTGGTACTGAACGTCCTGGAGTACCAGTCGGGCGCGATCGATTGCGCGCAGATGACCGTGAAGGGGCCTGCGGACTATGCCGTAGCAGTGACGACGGCGGCGATGCGCATCTGGGGCCTCGACCGCGTTTTTCTTGGAGCTGATGGGGAGCCCGCTATCCAAGCCTTGGTCCGAGCCGTCCAGCTGGCTCGAGAGGAAGAGACAGTGCCTCACAGCGGGCCCAGGCGCGATCCCAAGAGCAAGGGGGCGATCGAGAACGCCAACAAGATGGTCGAAAGTATGGGCCGCGCACTGCGGGCGCCGATCGAGTCGAGGTGCAGCGCCGAGCTGAGCTCTCCTTGAACCACTGGATCATTGGCTGGATGGTTCGTCGTGCAGGATGGCTTCTATCGAGGTACCCAGTGAAGGAGGATGGCCTCGCGCCCTACCAGCGCCTGAAGGGCCGCGCGTGCGGAGGAGCGACCTGCGAGTTCGGCGAGACGGTGATCTATAATATCCAGGAATGGCCCACCACAAGGCGGATATCCGCTGGGGCAAAGCCGTCTGGGTCTGGGAGGACAACCGCGCGGGCGAGCACCTTCTGGCGACTGCTGCTGGTCGGGAGACGGCGTGGGCGATCAACGGGCGAGTTGAGGGCCAGCGATGGTCCAGGAGCCTATTCAACAAGGTCGAGTGCGCGCCGTGGGACACTCGCGCAGGACCCGGGGCGGCACCATCTCCCCCGCGCCGCCGCTACATCGCGATGGCCATCATCGATCGAGTTGGACCTGCACCTGGTTGCGACGGCTGCTACGGGCTTGGTCACCCACGCACCGAGTCCTGCAGAGATCGGATCGAGAGTCTGCTGAAGGCCGAGGAGGAGAAAGACGCGCGGGGGGCAGCAGTTCGAGCAGCCGCCTCCGCAGCAGCTGCAGCACCCCCAGGAGGAACATATCAGCCTGCTCAGCCTGCGCCCGGCGACGAGCAACCTGCGCCGGCAGCGTCGGCTCCAGCGCCACCTGCTGTCCTACGTGGTCCAGAGGCACATTGAGGCGGGCGACCTCGCAGGCGTCGACTTGAGGCAGATGCTCCCTCGGATCCGATGCAGGGGGAACCTCTGGCGCAGGAGCAGCAGGGCGAAACGGGGCTCGGGGTGATCGAGATGGGCTGGAACGGGACCGTGGTGGCGGAGAAGCCGATGAGGAAGCAGCAGATGATCGCGGGCCTGTATGTCAACATGGCGACCGCAGTGCTGGCGCTGACGCGCGACGCCATTCCCTGTGACAGCGAAATGGGCACCGACAAGCGCTGCCTCTACGACAGGGAGTCGACCTACCAGAACGTTTGGGGCTAGGTCAGACAGGGGGCTGGCACCTTCCTCGGTGGAGCAGGGCGGGGGGAAGGGGCGCGGGCAGATGGGGGAGTTCCAGGTCTTCGACCGCGTGCCTAAGAACTTCGCGAAAGGCAAGCGCGTCCGCGGGAAGTGGGTCGACGATGAGCGCTGCGACGGCGACGGCAGGGGGTCGGTCAGGTCGCGCTTCGTGGTCATGCAGTTCGCCTGGCACGTGCGGGGCTACACTTTCGCTGGCGTGCCATCGCTGGCCGCGTTCAGGCTGGTGGTCTCCTTCGCATCAAGCCTCTGCTCCACGTGGGTCGGCTACGACGGCATGCTCGCCCTCTACGACGTGTCGGTGGCGTTCTTCCACGAGAATATCGACGAGGACATCTGTGTGGTGCCGCCCGAGGGAGAGGAGCCCGAAGGCATTGTGCACCGGCTGAAGAGGGCACTCTACAGCACCAGGAGGGCCACGTTCTTGTTTCAGAACTTCATCATGGAGGTCATGGAGACAGGATGCTTCGTCCGCATCAAGGTGACGGTTCAATTCGACTTTTACAAGGATCGCCTGCTGATGGTGACTGTTCATGGTGACGACTTCCTGGCTGGAGGAAGGGGAGACGCGCTCGACTGGCTGGACAAGCTGGTGAGAGGTCACCTCAGGGTCAAGGTGATGCCCAGGAACGGGGGCCCGAGGCAAGGAAGAGTTGAGTCAGGCAGCTGCCCCAAGCGCACAGTGACGTGGTGCCCCGAAGGTTTCGGCATCATGCGCGATCGCAAGCATGTGGAGATCCTGGTCAGCACCATGCTCATCATACGGATCGGCGAGAGCAACGCCACCAAGCGCACGATGGCCCCGTCTTCCAAGACAATCGGGAAGGACTGCAGATAGTCATCCGACGAGCTCAGCACGGAGTGCGCGACGACCTACCGCAGCATGGCGCCTACCGCATTCTACGTCGCACACGACTGCTTCGACATCCGGCAGGCCGTCGGCTACCTCATGAGGGGCATGGTGGCACCGACTGGGCACCGTTGGCTACTGCTTCAACGCTTGGCCAGCTACTTGGAGCAGCACCCGCAGTTTGAGCTCTTGTTCGAGTTCCAGAGGATGCCGAAGGTTATCGTGGCGGAGGTCGGCAGCGACTGGGCACCAGAACCTGGTCGGAGGTCCGTGGGCGGTGGTTTCCTGTTCATCGGTTCGCACCTGATCGACGGCTGGAGCCGCCAGCAGGACAACCGCGCCCTGAGCAGCGCCGAGGCGGAGTTCACGGGCATCGTGAACGGATCGGCGAGGGGCATCTGGCTCCGCAGCGTGATGTTGGAGATGGGCATCGAGGTGACGCTGCAGGTCAACGCGGGCAGCTCTCGGACCAAGGGCATCGCATCGCGCCTCGGATGCGGCAAGGTGCGCCACCTGGAGACGAAGAACCTCTGGGTGCAGGAGAAGGTCAGGGATCGGACCATCACGATGGCGAAGATCCACGCGGACGTCAACAGGGCCGACCTGCAGACAAAGCCGCTGGAGGGGCCGAGATTCCTGAAGCTGCTGGCGTTCCTTCCACTTCGGACGCCGTCCTCAGGGCGCGCGCAGGTGTTCGGAGTCATGCTGGCGGCCACCATGCTCGGTGGAGTTCAGGGCTCGGCAGCCATTCCGTACTGCCATGCGGTGATGGTGGTGAGCAGTTCGACCGTGGCGGAGCGGATCTGGGCGACGATGCTCGCAGTGATGTTCGGCTCGGCGTTGGCGATCGCATTCCTGGCGGCGTGGTTCGCGTGCCGCATATGCAAGGCGCCGTTGCGGTTCCTGAAGGGCTTGTGGGAACTCGTGAAGGCCGACGAGGACGAGAACGGACTGGTGGCGCGTCCATCGGCGAGCAGCCAACCGACAGGCTGGATATCGAGGACTGCTGGCGGCCAAGCCGACACGCGCAGACGGTGCCCGTGCCGCGCTGCTGGACGTGGAGCGCAGTGGACCTCAGAGCGGAGTGTGAGCGCCTGAGGATCTACCACGGTCAGCTCAAGGCGCAGATGATCGTGGACCTGCTCGTCGGAGCAGGGCGCAAGTGAGTGATTCTTCTGCTGCGGTGGCGCCGCCTTCTGACGTTTACGACGCAGCTGCAAGAGCTGGCGTCGCCTGTTTGCTGTTCCCTCTCGCGCGAGCTCGAGGGCGCGAGAGGATGAAGCCCGGCGTCGTGGCGCTGGCCCTCGGGGGAGAAACGAGATAGGCCCGCGGGCGAAGGTGCCAGATTTTGTTTGAGCTGGGATGACCCAGGACGGTTTCTGTTCAGTTGATGTGCCCCAGGCTAAGCCCAGGCCCCAAGGAGGAGTGCAGTGAAGACCCCCCCCCTCCCGAAAGATTTCGGATATGCTTAGCGCACGTTTGGAACGAAAGTTGTTTCGGATCGGGTTTAAGGGCCGACTGATGTTTCAGCGCTTGACGTTACCGCAGCCGTTCTGGCTGTAGCGCCCTGAGGAAAAGAGATCCCCTCGAGGCCTTGCGGGGCCCAGTATCGATCATGTGATACTAGCGCGATTCCGCGGACAAAAGTCATCGAAATTATGGGCTTCGAGATGCCGCGCTCGAGGTGGTCTGGCCCATTTCGCTTGATCTATCTTTGCAGCTCTGAGCTCGGACATGCCGCGCGCGAGGTGGTCTGTCGCGTTTTGCCTGAGACATCCTCGCAACTTTGAGCTTCGAGATGCTGCGCGCGATGTGGGCTAGCTCATTTCGCATGAAAAACCATCGAAATTCTGGGCTTCGAGATGCCACGCTCGAGGTGGTCAGGCCCATTTCGCTTGATATATATCGTCGCAACTCAGAACTCGGAGATGCCGCGCGCGAGGTGGTCTGTCGCGTTTTGCCTGAGACATCTTCGCAATTCTGGGCTCCGGGATTCCGCGCGTTTTGTTTGAGACGTCCTCGTAATGGTGAGCTCCGAGACGTCGTGCGAGACGTGGTCCAGCGCGTTTCGCCTGAGAGATCCTCGCAACCCTGGCTTTGAGAAGATGTGCGCGAGGAAGTCAGGCGTGTTTCCCCTGATACATCCTCGCAATTGGGCTCCGAGATGCTGCGCGCGAAGTGGTCTGGCTCGTTTGGCTCGTTTCGCCTGAGATGCTCTCGAAATTCTAGGCTCCGAAAGAGAGAGAGAGAGAGAGAGAGAGAGAGAGAGAGAGAGAGAGAGAAAGAGAGAGAGAGGGAGAGAGAAAAAGAGAGAGAGAGAGAGAGAGAGAGAGAGACAGGAGGGGAGGCGGGGCCAGACTCAAGCGAACCACTTCAGTACGTTTCTGTTTTCAAATTGTGCTCAAGGAGGGGTCTGGGCGCCACCTGCGACATCTTCGCAACTCTGGGCTCCGAGATGCCGCGCGCGAGGTGGTCCAGCGCGTTTCACCTTTGATTTCCTCGCTATTTTGGGCTTCGAGATGCTGCGCGCGGAATGCGACGATGAGGTAAAGGACAAGGAGGAGGGAGAGAAGGGTCAGGAGCAGGATGATGAGGACGAAGAAGAGGAGCGGGAGGAAGAGGGAAGGATGAAGAGGTGGAGGAGTGAGGTACAGAGGAGGGGGGGGTGGGCGAGGGCGAGAAGGAGAAAGTCGCGGATGCAGAGATATGTGGAGGAGAGGTGGAGGTGGAGGTGGAGCTGGAGGAGGAGGACGACGACTACGATAACGAAAAGCTCAGAGGATGACGCCGAAGGCGCAGGCCGACCATAAAGACGCGCGAACACGCGCTTTTTGGGGATACTGAATTCTTGCTATAATGTTTTTTTGTAATTTCTTTCATCGGCACCGCCAGATGCAGCACTATGGCGTGCGCGCGACCAGCAGGTACCTCGCTGGCTGAGATCGCGAAGTCGCTCTTGCAGAAGGACCGTCCAGCGCGCTAGCAGGTGGTGGAGCATGAGGAGGACGAGGAGTTGGAGGAGGGTTGTGGGTTTTTGGAGGAGCAGGGATGGCAGGGGAGAAAGAGGAGGCGGAGGCGGAGGAGGAGGATGAGGAGGGGGATGATGATGATGCTGATGATGATGATGATGATGATGATGATGATGATGATGATGATGATGATGATGATGATGATGCTGATGATGATGATGATGATGATGATGATGATGATGCTGATGATGATGATGCTGATAATGATGATGCTGATGATGATGATGCTGATGATGATGATGATGCTGATGCTGATGATGATGATGGTGATGGTGATGGTGATGGTGGTGGTGGTAATAATGATGATGCTGATGCTGGTGGTGGTGATGATGGTGATGACGACGATGATAAGGGATGATGGATGCTGAAGCTGATGCTGATGCTGATGCTGATGCTGATGCTGATGTTGATGCTGACGATGTTGCTGCTGCTGTTGATGATGATGATGATGATGCTGATGCTGATGATGATGATGATGATGATGCTGATGATGATGATGATGATGATGATGATGATGATTATGATGATGATGATGATGATGATGATGATGATGATGATGGTGATGATGCTGATGATGATGGTGGTGATGATGTTGATGATGATGTTGATGATGCTGATGTTGATGATGATGATGATGATGATGATGATGATGATGATGATGATGCTGATCATGATGATGATGATGATGATGATGATGATGATGATGATGATGATGATGATGACGATGATGATACTGAGGAGGCGGAGGATGAGGAGGAGGAAGCAGAGCACGAGGCAGGAGTGGCGGGAGGAGTAGGGAGAGGAGGAGGAGAAGGAGGAGAAGGAGGAGAAGGATGAGGGTACACGGGAGGGCGAGGGATGATGAAGTGGATGACGACGACGAGGCTGATGATGAGGATGATGATGTTGATGGTGATGATGACGCTGATGATGATGATGTCGACGATGATGATGATGATGTCGACGATGATGATGATGATGATGATGATGATGATGATGATGATGATGATGGTGATGATCATGTTGACCAGGGAGGATCAGGATCTGGATGATCAGGATGACGACGATGACGATGACGACGACGGTGATGATGACGATGATGCTGCTGACGACTGAGACGACTGCTAGGATGATGCTGCTGAATGCGATAATGAGGGCGATTATAATGACGATGATGCTGCTGCTGATGATGATGGTGATGGTGATGTTGACTACTACGACGACGATGATGGCGAGGCTGATGATGCGTGATGAGGATGATGATGATGCTGCTGATGCTGATGATGCTTATGATGGGCATGCTGATGCTGATGATGATGACGGTGCTGATTACGATGCTGATAATGACGATGATGATGATGATGATGCCGCTTACGCTGCTGCTGATGATGATGCTGGTGATAGTGACGATGGTGATACTGATGACGACGACGATGCTACTGCTGATGATATTGTTGTTGATATTGTTGTTGATATTGTTGATGCAGTTGGTTTTGTTGCGGTTGTTGCGCTTGGTTTAACTGTTGCTGTTGACGATTGTGGTGATGCTGCTGATGCTGGTGATGCTGATGCTGATGATGATGCTGATGCTGATGCTGATGACGATACTACTGCTGCTGATGATGATGACTATGCTGATGATGCTGCTGCTGATGATGATTCTGTTGCTGCTGATTGTGATGATGCTGTCGATGATGATGACGATAACGATGACGATGGTGGTGCTGATGATGATGCTGGTGACGATGATTATGATGCTGATGGCTGGTGAGGCTGATGCGGTTCTGCTTCTTGCTGCTGATTTTGATACTCATGCACGGTGGTGTGTGATGTCTGATGGATAGCGAGGCGGGGATGGAGGATGCGGGATGCCGATGATGATCATAATGAGGACGAGGAGGATGTCGATGATGCTGATGCTGATGAGGTTGTCGATGAGTGTGGATGATGATGATGATGATGATGATGATGATGGTGATGGTGATGATGATGATGATGATGATGATGATGATGATGATGATGATGACGGGGAGGATGATGCGGACGATGCTGATGCTGTGTATGATGATGCTGACGATCATGATGATGTTCTTTTTCTGCTGCTGATGTTGATGCTGCTGCTGCTGATGATGCTGATGACGACGATGATGATGATGATGATGCCGCTGGTCAGTGTGATCAGGATGATGATGATGATGATGATGTTCATGGTGATGATGCTACTGATGATGATGATGCTCAGGATGAGTATGATGATGCTGATGAAGACGATTCTGATGATGATGCTGGTTATGCTGATGCTGCTGCCGATGATGCTGCTGCTGCTGCACATGATCATGATGATGATGACAACGGCAATGACAATGATGATGGTGATGATGCTGATGCTGGCGATGATGATTATGCTGATGATGATGATGGTGATGATGTTGATTATGATGTTGATGCTGATTATGATGATGATTCTGATGATGGTGATGACGATTACGATGATGATGATGATTATGATGATGATTCTGACGATGATGACGATGACGATGATTATGATGATGGTAGGATGATAATCATGGTGAGGATGATGATGACGATGCTGATGGTGGTGATGATGATGATAACGATGATAACGATGATGATTATGATTATGATGATGAAGGTGATGATGATGATGATGATGATGATGATGATGATGATGATGATGCTGACGTTGATGCTGATGCTGATGCTGATGCTGAGGATGATGATGATGATGATGATGATGATGATGCTTATGATGATGATGCTGATTATGATTATGATTGGGGGTGATTGATGATGG